GTGTCCTCAGCGACCGACACAGCAGCAGAAGCGCGGGTAGCGGTGAAAGTGGGAAGCTGAGGGTCGGCACACCCCGCAAAGAGACGGGGGGCCACCGCATCAGTGGCGGAGGCAACGGTGAGGAGACTGCTCTCGATGGTCCCTAGAGCAGTCGCTAGGAGGTCGATAGTGAGCTCAGTGGGGTGCTTCTGAAGAAGCGCGTCGCGGGCAGTGGCAAGGCGGTCAGGGAGGCGGGTGACTAACCAGTGAACAGTGAGCCACATGGGGGGGGGAGCAACTAGAAGCTGTGCGTCAGTACAGGCAGCGCGGAAACCGGCGTCAAGCGAGCGGAGGTGAGTCACTAGGTCGGAAACAGTCGCAAACGAGCCTAGGTCGGGAAACACGAACGGCATGAGGAGGCGACTGAGGGAGGCAGAGGAGGGGGTGGAGTAGCGAGCAACAATAGCATCTCAAACCCCCTGTGCTGTCTCCACCTGGTCAAAGTGGGCGGCCTCAGTCGGAGGGAGAAGCTCCGTCAGTGTGAGAGCGGCGGCAGCGTCACGAGAGAGCCACACGTCCCTGGCCAGGACTCGACGGTCGTACTCCGCCTGGGCCGTAGGAGTCGGCTCCGAGGCGGTCGGCAGGGCGGCGGGGGACGGGGGGGCCTTGAGGGCACCAGACGCGTGGGCCCACAGAGTGGCGCCGTCCTGATGCTGGCTGGTGAGGAAGCGCGTGGTCTGGCGCTGCCAGGTACCGAACTCTATCGGGCGTCCCTCCGCATCGAAACGAAGGCGACGGGACTCCATAACGGAGGCAATGCTAGAGGCAGCTGGAGCACGGCGGAGGCGGAGCTAAGAACGAGGAGGTAGACTACGGAGGGCGAGGCTACTGAGGGCTAGATGCGCCAGCTGGAAAACGACGAGAGACGTGTGGCGAGAAACTAGGCTAGGGGCGGGGCTCTAACCGATCCTAGGTGGCGCTACCGGAGGAAAGAGCGGCTGCCAGCCGCTGAGCCGGGAGCCAAGAGCAGTAGGAATGGTGCGGGACCGGGGGACAGGTTTAGGGGGGGGAATCCAACAGTCGGGCAGAGAAGGGCACACTCGGGTAGCGTGGGGAAGAAGACACGCGGGAAAACGTGGGCTAGAATTAGGGTTAGAGCGGGTTGCGCGGGCTAGGGCGGGCACGGAACGGTGGCGTGGAGGCTAGGAGGTCGTGGAGAAGGCGCGAGCTAAGGGGAGGGCGCGTGCACGGGCGGATCTGGCGCGGAGGGCGCGGATGGCGCAGGGGGGGGGCGCGGAGGCACGGAGGGAGGGGTCGCGTGGCGGGCTGGCCTAGAGCGCGCGCGACTGGCTGGCCTGGGGCGCGCGACGGGCTGGCCTAGGTCGCGTGCGACGGGCTGGCCTAGGGTGCGCGCGGCGGGCTGGCGTAGGGGCGCGCGACGGGCTGGCCTGGGGCGCGCGACGGGCTGGCCTATGGCACGTGCGATGGGCTGGCCTAGGGGCGCGCGACGGGCTGGCCTAGGGGCGCGCGACGGGCTGGCCTAGGGGCGCGCGACGGGCTGGCCTAGGGGCGCGTGACGGGCTGGTCTAGGGGCGCGCGACGGGCTGGCCTAGGGGCACGCGACGGGCTGGCCTAGGGTGCGAGCCACGGGCTGGCCGAGGGGAGGGCGCGGGGTACGCGCGGAGGGTGAGGAGGCGCTTAGGGCGCGGAGGGCACGGACGGTACGAAGGGCGCGGAGGGCGCTAGGGCGCGGAGGGCGCTAGGGCGCGGAGGGCGCTAGGGCGCGGAGGGCGCTAGGGCTCGATCGAGGCTAGGCTTGGCGAGGAAACTACCTACTCATGATACCATGTCAGAATCAGGATGCAACGGAATGATGAGACTAGCAAGTGTGGAAGTACAAATATGCAACCCTAACAACTGTACTCCCTATTGTGCTACTCACTGTAGCCTACAAGCATAGAATTACATTTGACATGGGGCTATGGGGCTGACGGGTCCTACAGGGTGCAACGGGGTGCCTAAGGCAGCTAGGTGGGTGGGAGGCGGGGCGGACACATAGGTCCTAACCTAGCGGTGGTACCATGTTATAATCGAAGTTTGAATGACTCGCAAATGCATACAAGGCGGTATATGAAATGTTCCATGGCTTCTATGTTGCAACCCTAGCTAGCCTATAAAGTACACATACAAACATATAAATGTGTACGTCGATATTTCTTACATAAATCAAGGGTTTCCGTTGACGTATGTGGGCCTGCGTAAAACACATAAATGCTGTTTCTTTTTTAAAACATGTACGCTATGATTGGATCTCCGTCGAGGCTCCGGCCGTTGCTATATCTGCCCCCTTTAAAACTCCATTAAAAAAAAAACAACAAAAAAAACCAACAAGCAATTAAACGAGCAGATAAATGGATCTGGAGCCGTTTTGGGGACTTTACCTACTAAAACGTTCTGACCAAAACTTTTAAGATATTGTGGTTTCGTAATCGTTCCTTGACTGTGTAGTGTATCTTTGGCTGCAACCATGTTTATCTTTGCTGGCGACGCGTGAAATTCAGGGAAGCGGCGCAGGCGAATGTGGCGGCGGGTCTGTGATTGCGAAGGTGCTGCCGGGTGAAGATGGGGTGCATTTGGGTTGGGACACAGCGAGCGCAACTTGAGTCCCCCCCTCCCCTCAACCCCCGCTTCTCCCCCTGCCTTATTGCGCAACCCAAACATTCTTTCCCCCCTGTCTGCCATCGACCCTCCTCCCCACCTTGTTCTTCACGAGGCGCGGTGATAGTAGCGTCCAAAAGCGGGGCCAACTAATCCATTGAAATAGTAGCCCTCGCTTTCTCACATTTCATAATGCCAGCACTTGCTTGTTCCGGCCTATTTCCTCCCCATATTCTTCCGCCCTAATGCTCTAACTTCCGTATCTATCAGATTAGAGAGAAAAACGTGACGTACCTCAGGCTGAATCTGATATTTCTGACGTTCCGGCTGCGACGCTTTGGCATGGTTCGCAGAGGACAGTATAATCTCGTTGGTGATACATATATTAAGTAGAATTAACGTAGTAAGTTGTACTATACCATACTCCCGACATTCTTGGTTGCAACTCTTTCCTGAGAGCCATGGCGACGGCTCGGAGCCGCCTCCTGTTTCTGGTCGCTCTGCTCGCGTGCGCCGCGGCCGCAGCAGCGAAGCACGACAAGTCGTTTGACAACCTCATGACTCTCCCCGACTTCTGCAAGTGGAACGGCGGCTGCTCTCGGCAGAACGACGGCTCCGTGAAGCTCTCCGCCTACTGGGATAAGATGGGCAGTGAGTGCTTTACGGGCAAGGGGGCGGCGCGTGCACTACGGGCAGTGAGAGCATCACAGGCAGCGAGTGCATCACGGGAGGGGGAGGGGGGGAGAGAGTGAGCGCATTTCGAGAAGAGAGCGCGTTAAGGTCGGCCCATTGAGATGTTTGATTGGGGCGCCTAAAAAAAGCCCAGGTAGTGCGCATCGTTATTAAAATCATTGTTAGTATTATTATGCAGTTGTACTTGATTTAAATACCCTCTCAGTGCCCCCATCTTCCCCCTTGTCCTGTCTTCCCCCTTTCCCCACAACCCCATCCCCGCACCCTTTTCCCCTTTTCATCTCACATCTCCTTGAGTTGTTCCCTTGCCCTGTTCTCCTCACAATCCGTTCCCCCTCCCCGCCTCCCCTCCCCTCCCCTCCCCCCAATGCGACAGAGTTCAACTCTAAGGGCTACTTCGGCTACGGAATCTTCAGAGTCAACATGAAGCTCCCTTCGGGTTATTCCGGCGGTTTAATCCCCTGCATCTACCTTATTTCGGGTAACGGCCCAAAATACACCGACTTGCACGACGAGATCGACCTGGAATTTAACGGGGGAAATACCCCCAAGGATATTATTCTGCACACGAATCTTATCTCGGGCGGGCAAGTGTACCTGCAGCAGTACAAGTTCCCCTTCGATCCGTCCGCCGCGTTCCACACGTACACCATCGTCTACTCGCCGGATTACGTCATGTGGGCCGTCGATGACACCCCCATCCGCATCCACTATAAGGAGAGCGGCCGCCCCTTCCCGTCCGAAAACGTCAAGTTCGAGGTACGTCGTGATTCTTTAGCATGCTCCGAAGCTTCTTAGCAATTCAAAATTCCCGTCATTCTAAAAGCCCTTTCCTCGATTTCCAGCTTTCGTAGACCATAAACCGTTTTGGATATGAAATGGGTGTTTAGCTCGTGGCTGGCATCGAAGCTCATTATTCCTTCCTCCTCTTCCTCCTCCCCCCACCCTAACACTCCAGGGCTCCATTTGGGACGCTTCTGCGTGGAGCAAATTAAAGCCCAACTGGAGCAACGGGCCTACGGAAGTCATGTTCCGCCGCTTCGACCTGCACTACACGTGCAAGGCGCCGGGACAGACGGGCACCCCGTGGTGCAACAGCCTGCGCGGAAAGAAGGCCCCATGGGCGCGCAAGCCCAGCGCGGAGGCACTTGCGCGCAGCAATGAGTTTCGGAAGAACTACTTGGTGAAGGATTATGGCTGGTCGCGGATATACTAGGAAGCAGTTGGAGAGGTGGTGGTTGGAAGTTGAAACTTGCAATGGGAGTTTTTGCTGCACACTGCTGTACAGGGTTTGCGAGGATTCGTTATTAGAGTTTTCAAGATGGTCGGTGTGCGTGGGAGTGATGGATGCACGATAGAAGTTAGAACTCTCTCTTAGGCAGGGTCTCTCAATATGAGGGTGAGTATGTTGTTGGGTCTGTTTTAGTGCACGGCCAGTTGGAAAAAATAGCCTACTGCAATGCTGTGTTCCTGTATTGTAATGTGGAAATTTTGATAGAACAGACCTTTGAGCTGTTGCATCATTCTTTTGCGCTTTCATGTTTGCTTGCGCACCCTTCCATTATCATGACCCTCTTGTGAATCCATCCATAATACTCCGTTAGAGACAGTGCATACATATTCACACAAGCATTTATAAGCAAGTGGCTAAAAGAAACCCATTTTGCATGTCATCCTAAACTCCTTGTGGCAGCAGCAATCGCCTTGGACTGAGCGGATATGATGCTCACTGTCTTGGCGTGTGCAGGGTCCGATGCGAAGACTGCAATGCCATCATCCCACGAGCGCAGGTCGTCAGCCATGATCTGCCAAAACATGGTGGCTGGTGCAGGAGAGAGGGGAGAGGAAAGGGGAGAACGGGAGAGAGGTGAGGAGAAAAAGGTAGATACTAGTCAGGTGTCTTACTGCCATGCCACCACCGCGCCTTGCCATTCCCATGATCTGCCAGTGGGTGGTGCCGCGAGACCGGGTGGGGGAGGGAATGGAATAGGAGAGGAGAGAAAGTTAAATACTCAGGCGGCACCTCATACACGTGCCAGCAGCAATGCACACACGTCCCAGCCGCCGATCCCTTCTTCGATCCCCTCTTCTTAAACGACTCCAGCACAATCTGGTATAGCGCACTGTACACCTTGTTGAGAGGCGCCTCATGCTCGCACACTCCCACGGAGGCACATACAGGCACGCAGGACCACACACACACACACACACGCACACAGAGGCGCACACATGCAGGCAGCATCAAACACACGTACCGCCAGCTGAGCCTCCCTTTTTAACCGACTCCAGCACAATCTGGTACAGAGTCCTGTACACCTCGTTGCGCCGCGCCATGCTGCCGTCCGGAAGCTTCTTGATGCTCTCGGGGCCGAACTCGCCGATGAGCACGGGCATGTTGAGCTGCCCGTCCCCGTCCTCCAAGTGCCCCTTCACAAAGTTGGTAAAATGTGCCATCTTGTCACTCCATGCCGACACCGAATACCTGAAGGGGAAGAGGGAGGAGGGAGGAGGGAGAGAGGGGGAAGGAAGAGTGAACGAGTTGAGACAAGCAGCTCGTCTGCTTGATGCTCTCGGGACAAAAATCCCCGATGAGCACGGGCATGTTGAGCACCCCGTCCCCGTCCTCCAAATGGCCCTTGACGAAGTTTGTGAAATGTGCCAGCTTGTCACCCCATGCCGACACAGAGTACCTGAGGTGCGGGATCAAGAAGGAGCAGGGAGAGAGCACCAAGGGAGGACTGAGGGAATCCGTCCTGACCCACATTCACCATCCACCATCCACCACTACGCATTGAGCGTTCTCCCCTCCCCCCTTTTCCCACAACACATCACTTCTCCTCACCTGCTCATCACCCCGCTCTCACCTGCTGTTGGCATATGCGTGCACCGAGGCAAGGGCAATCCCGGGGGCCTTGTTGTTTCTGACAAAGTCCGTCCCCACATTCACCATCCACCACTCCGCATACAGCTTTCCCTACTCCCCCGCTCCCCACCACACATCACCTGCTGATCATCCCCTTCGCACCTGCTGTTTGCATACGCATGCACTGAGGCAAGGTCAATCCCGGGAGCCTTATTGTTCCGCACAAAGTCCGTTCCCACGTTCATCATCCACCACTCCGCATTGAGCGCCCCCCATCACGAATCACCCCCTCTCACCCGCCAAACCCCCCTTCTCACCTGCTCATCCCCTCCTCTTACCTGCTGTTTGCATACGCATGCACCGAGGCAAGGTCAATCCCCGGGACCTTGTTGTTCCTGACAAAGTCCGTCCCCACGTTCACCATCCACCACTCCGCGTTGAGCGCCTTGGCTCGATCCGGAGTGGAGGGGCCGTAGAAGCCCTCCGAGCCGATGGAGAGCAGGTGGTTGGGGTCCAGCGACTTGACATACGCTGCCATGTCCGTGATCCACGCCTGGGGGGGATGGGAGGGAGAAAGTGGACAGGATGGAAAAGGTAAAAGGTCAAGGCCTCGGATTGAGTCCCTAGTCTTGGTCTGGCGCTCCGGAGTGGAGGGGCCGTAGAAGCCCTCTGAGCCGACGGAAAGAGGTGGTTGGGGTCGAGCGCCTTGACATACGCTGCCATGTCTGTGGTCCACGCCTGGGGCAACGGGAGGGAGCGAATAGGAGAAAAGCTGAGAGCACAGAAAAGGTTGAGGGTTGGGAGAGAAGTCCAACCTTTGTGTCGACTCATAGTTTGTTACCTGCAGGACGTCACCCGAGGGATTCGCATATAGACGCAGGGCTCGTTCATGACCTCCCAGCCAAACGTGTGGACAGGTGGACAGGTGGGCTGCGGAGGCCTTACCTGCAGGACGTCTCCGGAGGGATCGGCGTAGACCCGGGGCTCGTTCATGAGCTCCCACCCGAAGATGGTGGGATCGTCGCGGTACAGCTGGCCTGTGAGCGTGTTGCACTCTGTGTTCCTAACTCTGTGTTCCTAACTCTGTGTTCCCCACTTTTCTCTTGTTACCTGCAGGACGTCTCCTGAGGGGTCAGCGTAGACCCGGGGCTCATTGATGAGCTCCCAGCCAAAGATGGTGGGATCGTCGCGGTACAGCTGGCCTGTGAGCGTGTTGCACTCTGTGTTCCTAACTCTGTGTTCCCCACTTTTCTCTTGTTACCTGCAGGACGTCTCCTGAGGGGTCAGCGTAGACCCGGGGCTCATTGATGAGCTCCCAGCCAAAGATGGTGGGGTCGTCGCGGTACAGCTGGCCCGTGAGGGTGTTGCGGCGAGTGAGAACCGCCTGCAGTGAGGGGAGGAGGGAATTAAGGAGGGAAGATGGGGAATTGGGGGGGGGGGGGAGGAGGGGGGGGGGCGCACCCAATCAGATGGTGGGGTCGTTGTGGTACAGCTGGCCTGTGACGGTGTTGCGACGGGTAAGAACCGCCTGCAGTGAGGAGAGGCAGATGGAAATGGAGGGGGGAGGGGGATTCAGCACGCCTCTGAATGTGTCAGGGGGACTAAGGAGGGAAAAGCGTCAGGAAATTTGCGTCAACTTGTGAGGGGTTCACGCGATACAGCACATCCTTGAATGTGTTGCGCCTCGTGAGTGAAACCTTGCGCAAGGAGGGGGGCTACAGCCCTGCACCACGCATCACTCTACTGCATCACACTGCACTGCACTGCACACAGACACCACCAGCACCAGAACCATCAGTGTCTGGTGGTGTCTGTGTAAAGTGCAGCAGACAAAGAAGGCTGTGTCATCTTTATCAGCACCAGAACCATCAGTTTCCCACTTTATCTTCGCACCTTGATAAAGTTTTTGTAGAACGTTCGGCAGAGAGGGTCGACAAAGAAGGCTGTGTCGTCATAGGGAGGGCTGCCCCCAGCAGCAGCGCTCCACTTGACGTATTGGTTCTTGCCTCCATAGTCGTCCCAGTTGCCGTTCAGCACCATGTGCAACCGGATTCCAAACCTCTTGGCCGTGAAAATTACATAGTCCAGGGCCTGGGGAGAAAGGGGCACAAAGGGGTGACAAAAACGAGAGAAGTGAAGGGAACATGGACAAATGGGGGGTGAGACAGAGAATGAGGAAACTTAAACGAAGTACTTGTTAGCATCATGTGCAGGCGAATGATAATGGGGGGGGGGGGGGGGGGGGGGGGGTGTGAGTGAGCACGGGGAGCCTGCATGGTGCACAACCGCCTGGCCTGGCAGGAGCAATATGGGCAGAGGAACGTGTCAAGGACTTCAATTCTGGTCACATCCCTCTGCCCATGTTGCTAGACCGCCTGCAGCACAGTCAGATAGGTGGTCCATGGTATTTCCACCACCTTCAACCCTCTTTCTGCCTGGCACTTCCAATCACACCCGCCTGAGGTTTCACTCCCTTGATTCACACTCTTTCAGGTCACAGTCACTAGATGGCACAGTCCTTGGAGTCACACCCACCTTAAACGTGTTCTCGTCAAACACGCCAGGGCTCGTCTGCAGCGCATGCCAGCCAGGGCCATCAAAGAACGCCCCCGTGCGGCACACTGTGAGGCCCATGCTGCGCCCCTGACTCAACGCCTGGTTCACCTGGTGGGGCACGAGGCAAGGGTGGGGGGTGGGAGAGAAAGGGAAAGGAGGGGGGTTTTGGCATAACAAAGAAGGCACAAAAAGCGAGAGGCACACGTGGCGCCTTTGCAACGTACGAGGTTCTTCTTGTCTGGAATGCTGGCAGTATACATGAGCCAGTACGTGTTCCACTCCATCCATTCACATAAAGAGTGAAAGGTTGAGAGCTCAAATCACAAAGGCATTCCTGCAACGTACCAGGTTCTTCTTGTCCGGAATGCTGGCAATGTACATGAGCCAGTACGTGTTCCACCCATTCACATAAAACGGCTTGCCCCGCAGCCACAGCTGCCGCCCCACCCGCTGCACAAACGCATCACTGGAAACAGCCTCCACCACCTTCAACGCAGCCTTCCCCTTGGCCGTAGTAGAGTCTGTGCACGCAGGATCGTTCCTGGAGAAGCGGCACCTCAGGGACGACAGCAGGCCCTGGGAGGCGCGCTGCAGGAGAGCGCCTTGAGCAGGGCCCGAGGCAGAACCACTACCAGAGGCAGACGCTAAGGTAGAGGCAGAGGCAGAGACAGAGGAGGTCGAAACATTGCCAGCTGCTGCTGCCTCCTCTGCTGTCGATGCTGTGGCTGCTTCTGAAGCTGGGCCCGTTTCCTCGTCCTCTGGAAGAGAGGCGGGTGCGTCTGCTGCTGATGCCTCTTCTGTGTCTGCTGCTGTGGACTCTTCTGCGCCTGCTGTTGACTGCTCTCCGCCTGCTACGCTTGTGTAGCCGCTGTGATGGAGAATGAAGCTTGGAAGCAGCTCCTCCCTCTTGTACGGGCCGTCACCAGGCACGGGGAACTCACCACCCACAGGGCCACCTGCCCCAGCCGAATCAGCAGCAGCAGCATCACCAGACGAAGCAGCAGCACCAGCAGCAGCAGGAGTGATAGAGAAAGCGGCACCACCGCCGGCAGCAGCATGCCATTCGTCCCGCATCCTACTCGCGGAGGGGCTGTGTTTGCCCACGGACCAGGGGAGGCGCACAGCAGCAACGCGAGCAGGACTGCACAGGGCGAGAGCGACAGTCACTGAGAGCAGCAGACTCGATAAATACAGGCAAGAACCCCTCATATGGTGAGAGAAACGACTCTCATAAATAGAACGAGGGTTCGAAGCCCTCGTTTTCTTGAAACAGCCTGGTGAGTTTGCTGGTAACCTCCTCGGTTGAGAGTTTGAAGCCACCATTTTTCCAAGTTGAAGCTACCAACACCCTCAGGAGCTATGGGGAGTCAAAGGCCTCAATAAGGCCTTTGGAGTTTCTAAGGCACTGCTGTCAAAGGATCCCGCGGGGGAACGAGGTTGCTTGTGGGGAACAGATGGCTGGGACTGGATTGCAACGGGGTGATTGAACAGGCTGCGACGGCCCTTCATTCGATATTTAAACGGCTCTCGTCAGCTGGCAGCGCAGCAGCAGGGCGTGTAGGTGGTACTAAGGCCGACATTCTACTTGTGGTTGTTGGGTTGGTGGGGGTCTCAGGAGGCGGCTCAGGAAGCACGAGGTGGTTGAGGGTGAAGAGGCCAAGGACGAGGAGAACCAAGAGGGCCACGTTTGAGGGCTACACGGGCAAAGATAGGAAGGGAGGAGGGAGGTAGTTACGCCTCGGAGGTAGGTCTTTGGCTCCCCAAGGTCGAATCCCAGGAACGAGGAACGAAGAGAGACGAGGGGCGTCTCGCGTGCACGTTTGAGTCTCGCGTCCGCATCGCGCTTTTGCATTCCGAAAGCATTTCGTTGGACAAGACATTGTCTTTCAACGCCCCTTGAATCACACCGCTCGTATGGAATCGAGGCTACCTGCCCCATCCATCACCATTTTTCCAAGCTGGCTTGGCTAGGCTCAAATTGCTTCGGACGAATATGGATAAGTCGGAGGGACCGGCCATCACCTACCCGTTCGCGGTCAAATCACGCTGTTCGCAACGGCTAAGATCGCGACAAAGACCTCTCACCGACACCGAAAACCCCCTCGACCGCTTCTGCCGAACCGCTCATGCCGAACCGCAGACGAAAATCAAGATAGATGAGTCCTATCCTGGATCGTAGTATATGGCTACCATTGTAAATGCCTTCCCTTCTCGCGACGCAGGTTTTGCGGCTCGTCGTTGATTCGTTCAGATTGACGACGGCCAACCAATCAGCTACAAGCTTGAGGTCTTTCTCGGAAGCCTACCTGAGTGAGACTCGATCCGGAATTTCCTGACGGTGGACTCGCTACGATGCTCGAAACGGGACTTCGTAGCTCCGCAATAAACAAGGCTATAGGAGCGGCGGACCTAGCCTGGTTCGGACAACAAGCCTAGCGAGGCGAGAACTGCGGAGAAGCAGTCTAGGTGCGGGACGCGCATGCGAATCTTAGAATACTGGATCGCGCAAGCGAAACGGATACTCGTAAGTGACATGCGAGCCATGTCGGCCAGGAAAACCGCCTCGGCGTGAATCCCGAAGTGAGCCTTGGGAACTGAATCCCGAGACGTGAATCCCGAGACGTGAATCCCGAGGTAAGACTAGGCAGGAAATGAGGTGATGGTCGGGTGAGCGACCAAGTCCGGCTCGGAGAAGCGTAAAAGCAGGAAAGGCGTAAAGTGGAGAGGCATGGATGAAGGGAAGACACGCGCAGATGGGGAGGCATGGATGTGAACGGAAGGCAAATGAATGGAGGCATAGATCAAGGCAGAAGGCATGTGAATGGAGGTGATGGCCGAGATAGGCCATTTGGATCTGATAGGCATCGGGATTGTCGGAAGGAGCAAAACCAAATCGAGGTCAGTCTCCTTCCCCGATATTGGTACATCAGTTTCTTGGTATAGACATCCACAGAGACATACAACCCGAACTCGTTTAAGACTCTGGACGTACATCACATAGTGACACCAAAAAATACTTAGGCAATGTAGAACCACAACTACCATGTTATGGACGAGTCCATTTAAAGGATTAGTCGGAAAATCGCTCGACAGTAATCTGCATGTCGGGCAGCTCCAAAATCATTTTCAGTTGTCTCTTCGACCATCGTTAATCGAGCAAAAAAACGCCATTTCTAACCAAATATATGGGTGCGTGCGATACGCACCCATCACAATAACAAACAAACAAAGTCACAAAAGTACTGTTCAGAATGAGCTCAGCCGCTGCACGAGCGAGTGCAGTAATGAGCTCCTAAGTTAGCACCCAACCATGTGTCAGCATCAGCACTTGAACTCAGGATGAGCCTTCCAGACTTCATAGAACAAGTTCTCCCAGATGTCAGGAAGCCCGGGCAGGCACGGATGCAGGCAGTCTTTGCTGTCGGTGGACTGAGCATGGCATCGCTGGGATTGAGCGACGGCAAGCGTCAGCATCAGCTGTTAAACTCCGGGTCAGCCTTCCAGACTTCATAGAACAGGTCGACCCAGATGTCAGGAAGCCCGGGCAGGCACGGGTGCAGGCAGTCCCTGCTATCAGGGGACTGAGACGCCAGCATGGCATCGCCTCTGTACAGCGACGGGTGTGTGATGTCCACAAAGCGAATGTTCTTGCTGGGACTCAGAACGTCCCGCTGTGCGGGGAACCACTTGCGGCTCTGAGGGTTCCCGCGGACCATGTGCTCGTACTGCTCAGGGATGCCAGGGCACGGGGAGAGGGGGGGGCGTGAAAGGTCTTATGAGTAACTCAGAAATCACCTCTGAGGGGGTTCCCCCGCACCATGTGCTCGAACTGCATTGTGCCAAGGCACGTGAAGGGAAGCATGGAGGTGCAAGGTTGTGTGTGTGGGGTTGTTAGACTGCAGCACTTGCAGCAATGTGAGTATTTGAGGTGTAAGTGCCAATGAGTATAAATCAGAGCATAATCAACTCACCGTGAATCTGTTGGCAGGGGTGTAGGAGCCCTGGCAGTTAACAGAGTGCACATACTGTGCATCACATCACAGACACGCACGCACACACACACGCACACACACACACGCACTCACACACAAGCACATGCACAGATGCCTAAAGAGTGCCTAGCTTGGGTGCACACTCAACTCACCGTGGACCTGTTGGCAGGGGCGTAGGAGCCCTGGCAGTTAACGAGGCTTGTCCCAGCAGGGAGCACGTACTGTGCGTCACACACACACACACATGCTCTGCCTTCAGTCACAGCACACTCAACTCACCGTGGACCTGTTGGCAGGGGCGTAGGAGCCCTGGCAGTTAACGAGGCTTGTCCCAGCAGGGAGCACGTACTGTGCGTCACACATACACACACATGCTCTGCCTTCAGTCACAGCACACTCAACTCACCGTGGACCTGTTGGCAGGGGCGTAGGAGCCCTGGCAGTTAACGAGGCGGGGAGGAGCGGAGAGGAAGTAGGGCACAGGCAGGTCCCAGCGCTTGCTGTTGCCGGCGTTGAACGACTTGCCCAGCTTATTCAGTGCTTGCCTGGGAGAAGGGGGATGGGTGACATGAGGGAGAGGGGGTTTTGAGGCACATATAAACGGCAAGGCGGGGAGGAGAGGAGAGGACGCATGGCATGGGCAGGTCCCAGCGCTTGCTGTTGGCTCGGGGTCGAGGCGGTGCCACTTGCGGTGCACAAAGAAGCGCCGCAGCCAGCACTCAGCGTGTGTAGTCCCTCTCCTTTACACCCACACACAAGAGCTCACCCACAGGCACTCACTTGTATGCGGTCATAGTGTCGGGCTCGGGGTCGAGGCGGTGCCACTTGCGGTGCACAAAGAAGCGCCGCAGCCAGCACTCAGCGTGTGTAGTCCCTCTCCTTTACACCCACACACAAGAGCTCACCCACAGGCACTCACTTGTATGCGGTCATAGTGTCGGGCTCGGGGTCGAGGCGGTGCCACTTGCGGTGCACAAAGAAGCGCCGCAGCCAGCACTCAGCGTGTGTAGTCCCTCTCCTTTACACCCACACACAAGAGCTCACCCACAGGCACTCACTTGTATGCGGTCATAGTGTCGGGCTCGGGGTCGAGGCGGTGCCACTTGCGGTGCACAAAGAAGCGCCGCAGCCAGCACTCAGCGTGTGTAGTCCCTCTCCTTTACACCCACACACAAGAGCTCACCCACAGGCACTCACTTGTATGCGGTCATAGTGTCGGGCTCGGGGTCGAGGCGGTGCCACTTGCGGTGCACAAAGAAGCGCCGCAGCCAGCACTCAGCGTGTGTAGTCCCTCTCCTTTACACCCACACACAAGAGCTCACCCACAGGCACTCACTTGTATGCGGTCATAGTGTCGGGCTCGGGGTCGAGGCGGTGCCACTTGCGGTGCACAAAGAAGCGCCGCAGCCAGCACTCAGCGTGTGTAGTCCCTCTCCTTTACACCCACACACAAGAGCTCACCCACAGGCACTCACTTGTATGCGGTCATAGTGTCGGGCTCGGGGTCGAGGCGGTGCCACTTGCGGTGCACAAAGAAGCGCCGCAGCCAGCACTCAGCGTGTGTAGTCCCTCTCCTTTACACCCACACACAAGAGCTCACCCACAGGCACTCACTTGTATGCGGTCATAGTGTCGGGCTCGGGGTCGAGGCGGTGCCACTTGCGGTGCACAAAGAAGCGCCGCAGCCAGCACTCAGCGTGTGTAGTCCCTCTCCTTTACACCCACACACAAGAGCTCACCCACAGGCACTCACTTGTATGCGGTCATAGTGTCGGGCTCGGGGTCGAGGCGGTGCCACTTGCGGTGCACAAAGAAGCGCCGCAGCCAGCACTCAGCGTGTGTAGTCCCTCTCCTTTACACCCACACACAAGAGCTCACCCACAGGCACTCACTTGTATGCGGTCATAGTGTCGGGCTCGGGGTCGAGGCGGTGCCACTTGCGGTGCACAAAGAAGCGCCGCAGCCAGCACTCAGCGTGTGTAGTCCCTCTCCTTTACACCCACACACAAGAGCTCACCCACAGGCACTCACTTGTATGCGGTCATAGTGTCGGGCTCGGGGTCGAGGCGGTGCCACTTGCGGTGCACAAAGAAGCGCCGCAGCCAGCACTCAGCGTGTGTAGTCCCTCTCCTTTACACCCACACACAAGAGCTCACCCACAGGCACTCACTTGTATGCGGTCATAGTGTCGGGCTCGGGGTCGAGGCGGTGCCACTTGCGGTGCACAAAGAAGCGCCGCAGCCAGCACTCAGCGTGTGTAGTCCCTCTCCTTTACACCCACACACAAGAGCTCACCCACAGGCACTCACTTGTATGCGGTCATAGTGTCGGGCTCGGGGTCGAGGCGGTGCCACTTGCGGTGCACAAAGAAGCGCCGCAGCCAGCACTCAGCGTGTGTAGTCCCTCTCCTTTACACCCACACACAAGAGCTCACCCACAGGCACTCACTTGTATGCGGTCATAGTGTCGGGCTCGGGGTCGAGGCGGTGCCACTTGCGGTGCACAAAGAAGCGCCGCAGCCAGCACTCAGCGTGTGTAGTCCCTCTCCTTTACACCCACACACAAGAGCTCACCCACAGGCACTCACTTGTATGCGGTCATAGTGTCGGGCTCGGGGTCGAGGCGGTGCCACTTGCGGTGCACAAAGAAGCGCCGCAGCCAGCACTCAGCGTGTGTAGTCCCTCTCCTTTACACCCACACACAAGAGCTCACCCACAGGCACTCACTTGTATGCGGTCATAGTGTCGGGCTCGGGGTCGAGGCGGTGCCACTTGCGGTGCACAAAGAAGCGCCGCAGCCAGCACTCAGCGTGTGTAGTCCCTCTCCTTTACACCCACACACAAGAGCTCACCCACAGGCACTCACTTGTATGCGGTCATAGTGTCGGGCTCGGGGTCGAGGCGGTGCCACTTGCGGTGCACAAAGAAGCGCCGCAGCCAGCACTCAGCGTGTGTAGTCCCTCTCCTTTACACCCACACACAAGAGCTCACCCACAGGCACTCACTTGTATGCGGTCATAGTGTCGGGCTCGGGGTCGAGGCGGTGCCACTTGCGGTGCACAAAGAAGCGCCGCAGCCAGCACTCAGCGTGTGTAGTCCCTCTCCTTTACACCCACACACAAGAGCTCACCCACAGGCACTCACTTGTATGCGGTCATAGTGTCGGGCTCGGGGTCGAGGCGGTGCCACTTGCGGTGCACAAAGAAGCGCCGCAGCCAGCGCTCAGCGTGTGTAGTCCCTCTCCTTTACACCCACACACAAGAGCTCACCCACAGGCACTCACTTGTATGCGGTCATAGTGTCGGGCTCGGGGTCGAGGCGGTGCCACTTGCGGTGCACAAAGAAGCGCCGCAGCCAGCACTCAGCGTGTGTAGTCCCTCTCCTTTACACCCACACACAAGAGCTCACCCACAGGCACTCACTTGTATGCGGTCATAGTGTCGGGCTCGGGGTCGAGGCGGTGCCACTTGCGGTGCACAAAGAAGCGCCGCAGCCAGCACTCAGCGTGTGTAGTCCCTCTCCTTTACACCCACACACAAGAGCTCACCCACAGGCACTCACTTGTATGCGGTCATAGTGTCGGGCTCGGGGTCGAGGCGGTGCCACTTGCGGTGCACAAAGAAGCGCCGCAGCCAGCACTCAGCGTGTGTAGTCCCTCTCCTTTACACCCACACACAAGAGCTCACCCACAGGCACTCACTTGTATGCGGTCATAGTGTCGGGCTCGGGGTCGAGGCGGTGCCACTTGCGGTGCACAAAGAAGCGCCGCAGCCAGCACTCAGCGTGTGTAGTCCCTCTCCTTTACACCCACACACAAGAGCTCACCCACAGGCACTCACTTGTATGCGGTCATAGTGTCGGGCTCGGGGTCGAGGCGGTGCCACTTGCGGTGCACAAAGAAGCGCCGCAGCCAGCACTCAGCGTGTGTAGTCCCTCTCCTTTACACCCACACACAAGAGCTCACCCACAGGCACTCACTTGTATGCGGTCATAGTGTCGGGCTCGGGGTCGAGGCGGTGCCACTTGCGGTGCACAAAGAAGCGCCGCAGCCAGCGCTCAGCGTGTGTAGTCCCTCTCCTTTACACCCACACACAAGAGCTCACCCACAGGCACTCACTTGTATGCGGTCATAGTGTCGGGCTCGGGGTCGAGGCGGTGCCACTTGCGGTGCACAAAGAAGCGCCGCAGCCAGCACTCAGCGTGTGTAGTCCCTCTCCTTTACACCCACACACAAGAGCTCACCCACAGGCACTCACTTGTATGCGGTCATAGTGTCGGGCTCGGGGTCGAGGCGGTGCCACTTGCGGTGCACAAAGAAGCGCCGCAGCCAGCACTCAGCGTGTGTAGTCCCTCTCCTTTACACCCACACACAAGAGCTCACCCACAGGCACTCACTTGTATGCGGTCATAGTGTCGGGCTCGGGGTCGAGGCGGTGCCACTTGCGGTGCACAAAGAAGCGCCGCAGCCAGCACTCAGCGTGTGTAGTCCCTCTCCTTTACACCCACACACAAGAGCTCACCCACAGGCACTCACTTGTATGCGGTCATAGTGTCGGGCTCGGGGTCGAGGCGGTGCCACTTGCGGTGCACAAAGAAGCGCCGCAGCCAGCACTCAGCGTGTGTAGTCCCTCTCCTTTACACCCACACACAAGAGCTCACCCACAGGCACTCACTTGTATGCGGTCATAGTGTCGGGCTCGGGGTCGAGGCGGTGCCACTTGCGGTGCACAAAGAAGCGCCGCAGCCAGCACTCAGCGTGTGTAGTCCCTCTCCTTTACACCCACACACAAGAGCTCACCCACAGGCACTCACTTGTATGCGGTCATAGTGTCGGGCTCGGGGTCGAGGCGGTGCCACTTGCGGTGCACAAAGAAGCGCCGCAGCCAGCACTCAGCGTGTGTAGTCCCTCTCCTTTACACCCACACACAAGAGCTCACCCACAGGCACTCACTTGTATGCGGTCATAGTGTCGGGCTCGGGGTCGAGGCGGTGCCACTTGCGGTGCACAAAGAAGCGCCGCAGCCAGCACTCAGCGTGTGTAGTCCCTCTCCTTTACACCCACACACAAGAGCTCACCCACAGGCACTCACTTGTATGCGGTCATAGTGTCGGGCTCGGGGTCGAGGCGGTGCCACTTGCGGTGCACAAAGAAGCGCCGCAGCCAGCGCTCAGCGTGTGTAGTCCCTCTCCTTTACACCCACACACAAGAGCTCACCCACAGGCACTCACTTGTATGCGGTCATAGTGTCGGGCTCGGGGTCGAGGCGGTGCCACTTGCGGTGCACAAAGAAGCGCCGCAGCCAGCACTCAGCGTGTGTAGTCCCTCTCCTTTACACCCACACACAAGAGCTCACCCACAGGCACTCACTTGTATGCGGTCATAGTGTCGGGCTCGGGGTCGAGGCGGTGCCACTTGCGGTGCACAAAGAAGCGCCGCAGCCAGCACTCAGCGTGTGTAGTCCCTCTCCTTTACACCCACACACAAGAGCTCACCCACAGGCACTCACTTGTATGCGGTCATAGTGTCGGGCTCGGGGTCGAGGCGGTGCCACTTGCGGTGCACAAAGAAGCGCCGCAGCCAGCACTCAGCGTGTGTAGTCCCTCTCCTTTACACCCACACACAAGAGCTCACCCACAGGCACTCACTTGTATGCGGTCATAGTGTCGGGCTCGGGGTCGAGGCGGTGCCACTTGCGGTGCACAAAGAAGCGCCGCAGCCAGCACTCAGCGTGTGTAGTCCCTCTCCTTTACACCCACACACAAGAGCTCACCCACAGGCACTCACTTGTATGCGGTCATAGTGTCGGGCTCGGGGTCGAGGCGGTGCCACTTGCGGTGCACAAAGAAGCGCCGCAGCCAGCACTCAGCGTGTGTAGTCCCTCTCCTTTACACCCACACACAAGAGCTCACCCACAGGCACTCACTTGTATGCGGTCATAGTGTCGGGCTCGGGGTCGAGGCGGTGCCACTTGCGGTGCACAAAGAAGCGCCGCAGCCAGCGCTCAGCGTGTGTAGTCCCTCTCCTTTACACCCACACACAAGAGCTCACCCACAGGCACTCACTTGTATGCGGTCATAGTGTCGGGCTCGGGGTCGAGGCGGTGCCACTTGCGGTGCACAAAGAAGCGCCGCAGCCAGCACTCAGCGTGTGTAGTCCCTCTCCTTTACACCCACACACAAGAGCTCACCCACAGGCACTCACTTGTATGCGGTCATAGTGTCGGGCTCGGGGTCGAGGCGGTGCCACTTGCGGTGCACAAAGAAGCGCCGCAGCCAGCGCTCAGCGTGTGTAGTCCCTCTCCTTTACACCCACACACAAGAGCTCACCCACAGGCACTCACTTGTATGCGGTCATAGTGTCGGGCTCGGGGTCGAGGCGGTGCCACTTGCGGTGCACAAAGAAGCGCCGCAGCCAGCACTCAGCGTGTGTAGTCCCTCTCCTTTACACCCACACACAAGAGCTCACCCACAGGCACTCACTTGTATGCGGTCATAGTGTCGGGCTCGGGGTCGAGGCGGTGCCACTTGCGGTGCACAAAGAAGCGCCGCAGCCAGCGCTCAGCGTGTGTAGTCCCTCTCCTTTACACCCACACACAAGAGCTCACCCACAGGCACTCACTTGTATGCGGTCATAGTGTCGGGCTCGGGGTCGAGGCGGTGCCACTTGCGGTGCACAAAGAAGCGCCGCAGCCAGCGCTCAGCGTGTGTAGTCCCTCTCCTTTACACCCACACACAAGAGCTCACCCACAGGCACTCACTTGTATGCGGTCATAGTGTCGGGCTCGGGGTCGAGGCGGTGCCACTTGCGGTGCACAAAGAAGCGCCGCAGCCAGCACTCAGCGTGTGTAGTCCCTCTCCTTTACACCCACACACAAGAGCTCACCCACAGGCACTCACTTGTATGCGGTCATAGTGTCGGGCTCGGGGTCGAGGCGGTGCCACTTGCGGTGCACAAAGAAGCGCCGCAGCCAGCGCTCAGCGTGTGTAGTCCCTCTCCTTTACACCCACACACAAGAGCTCACCCACAGGCACTCACTTGTATGCGGTCATAGTGTCGGGCTCGGGGTCGAGGCGGTGCCACTTGCGGTGCACAAAGAAGCGCCGCAGCCAGCGCTCAGCGTGTGTAGTCCCTCTCCTTTACACCCACACACAAGAGCTCACCCACAGGCACTCACTTGTATGCGGTCATAGTGTCGGGCTCGGGGTCGAGGCGGTGCCACTTGCGGTGCACAAAGAAGCGCCGCAGCCAGCGCTCAGCGTGTGTAGTCCCTCTCCTTTACACCCACACACAAGAGCTCACCCACAGGCACTCACTTGTATGCGGTCATAGTGTCGGGCTCGGGGTCGAGGCGGTGCCACTTGCGGTGCACAAAGAAGCGCCGCAGCCAGCGCTCAGCGTGTGTAGTCCCTCTCCTTTACACCCACACACAAGAGCTCACCCACAGGCACTCACTTGTATGCGGTCATAGTGTCGGGCTCGGGGTCGAGGCGGTGCCACTTGCGGTGCACAAAGAAGCGCCGCAGCCAGCGCTCAGCGTGTGTAGTCCCTCTCCTTTACACCCACACACAAGAGCTCACCCACAGGCACTCACTTGTATGCGGTCATAGTGTCGGGCTCGGGGTCGAGGCGGTGCCACTTGCGGTGCACAAAGAAGCGCCGCAGCCAGCGCTCAGCGTGTGTAGTCCCTCTCCTTTACACCCACACACAAGAGCTCACCCACAGGCACTCACTTGTATGCGGTCATAGTGTCGGGCTCGGGGTCGAGGCGGTGCCACTTGCGGTCCACAAAGAAGCGCCTGAGCCACCTCTCGGCATGCGTACTCACTCAGCTTTACCGTCACACATAGTCGCTCACCCACAGGCACCCACTTGTATGCAGTCATTGTGTCAGGCTCAGGGTCGAGGCGGTGCCACTTGCGGTCCACAAAGAAGCGCCTCAACCACCTCTCAGCGTGCGGCCAGTGAGTGGCGGACTGGAAGACGATGAGGTCCATTGTCTGCACCTGGTCGAACCACTGCGGGTCAAACGCGCCCAGGTTCACTGCTGTGTCTCCCAGCCCTGGGTCCTGCACCCTCAACTTGCGGATGACCTGATGGGAGGGAAGAAGGGAGGCAATATTGGAGGGAAGAGGCAGGGAATCAGAGAAGAAGACGGGATATCTCATACTGCGTGGTTTCCATGTGTGGTCTCATGATTCCTCCACATGCAGCAAGTAGCCGGCAGCCCGCAGCACGTAACCACATGCAAAGAGCACCCACCACCGGATTGGCAGACGTCCACATGAGGAAGAGGCTCCAGCAGTTGGCCACCGTCACATTATGCACACCCCATGCATGCACACATGCTTCAAACACATGCAGCATGCAGCATGCCATCACATGCCAAGAGCACCCACCACGGGGTTGGCAGACGCCACATGAGGAAGGGGCTCCAGTAGTTAGCCACTGTCACATTGTGCGAGTCCATGCACGCACAGATGCTTCAAACACATGCACCATGCACCATGCAGCATGCAGCATGCCATCACATGCCAAGAGCACCCACCACGGGGTTGGCGGAGGTCCACATGAGGAAGGGGCTACAGTAGTTGGCGACGGTTAAGTTATGTGAGTCCAGGCGCCACACGAAGCTGCCCAGCGCACTGCCCTCCACGCGGCTCACCGTGCCCACCTGCGCCAGCTGCGAGAGGGGACAAGGGGTGGTGCACGGGAAAGGCTCTGTGCGTTTGAAGGGCGCCACACGTAGTTGCCCAGCGCACTGCCCTCCACGCGGCTCACCGTGCCCACCTGCGCCAGCTGCGAGAGGGGACAAGGGGTGGTGCACGGGAAAGGCTCTGTGCGTTTGAAGGGCGCCACACGTAGTTGCCCAGCGCACTGCCCTTCACGCGGCTCACCGTGCCCACCTGCGCCAGCTGTGAGAGGGGACAAGGGGTGGTGCACGGGAAAGGCTCTGTGCGTTTGAAGGGCGCCACACGTAGTTGCCCAGCGCACTGCCCTCCACGCGGCTCACCGTGCCCACCTGCGCCAGCTGCCAGGGGGAGAGGGGTGGTGCATGTGAAGAGGAGTGGAAGTCAGGTATGCAGTTGGTGGGGAGAGGGGGGGTCAGGGAACGAGGAGAATGAATGTTGTGTGTTTGAATGGCGCCGCCACACGTAGTTGCCCAGCGCACTGCCCTCCACTCGACTCACTGTGCCCACCTGCGCCAGCTGCCAGGGGGAGAGGGGTGGTGAATGGGAAGACAGCAGGTGAAATCACGAGAAGTGCACCAGAAGACAGGCACAGGTCTTAACGGGCCCCTATTGTTACACTCCGAGCCACACAAACTTGCCCGGCGGACTGCCCTCCACACGGCTCACCGTGCCCACCTGTGCCAACTGGGACAGGTGGGAAGGGGTGGTGCATGGGGAGAGGAGTGCACAGGGGGACTGCGGGACAGCGGGTGCACGCAGACAGGGTTGCGTGGGGGAACAGGCGTGTATGGAGAGAAGGGGGCTGAGAATGAGCATGGTGTGTTTGAAGGGCCCCAGGTCTTAACCAATCTCACATTCTGCAGCCACTTGCCAGGGCAGCGAGCCAACCTGGCAGAGCAGCGAACCTACCTGGCAAAGCAGCAAGCCTACGTGGCAAAGCAGCGAGCCTACCTGGCAAAGCAGCGAGCCTACCTGGCAGAGCAGCGAGCCTACCTGGCAAAGCAGCGAGCCTACCTGGCAAAGCAGTATATTAATCACTTTCGAGAATTCTCAACATTATTTAAAAATAGCCTACCTGGCAAAGCAGCGAGGGCATGAAGCCGTCTGTAATCAAAGAGTCGCCAACCAGAGCTATCACCCTGTAAGGCACAGGGAAGGCGCAGTGGGGGGCGATTAGGGAGCGGGGGGGAGTGGTGAACGATGGAGAGTGGTGAAAAGGGCCAAGCTGTTACACCATCGGGGACAAGTTGCTCACCGGAGCAATCACCCTGCCAGGCACAAAAGAAGGATCGGATCAGGGCTGGAGATAGAGGGTTTGAGGGAACTGGGTGGAGGAGGTGGGGGAAAGGAGGCAAAAGGAAGGATCGGATGAGGGAGGGAGATAGAGGGCTGGAGGGACATGGGTGGAGGAGGTGGGGAAAGGAGCGATGAGAGAGGAGAGAGGCGAGGCGAGAGAGGAGAGAGGAGGTGGGGGAAAACTCAGCTGGGGAGTTCAGGAGCGCCTCTGGGGAAGGGATCCTCTGAGATTTTCCAGGGAGAAAGTCTAAGCAAGCCAGAAAAAGAAAAAAAGAAAACTGAACGATCGCTTTTCCAAAGGGAAGCAGCGTAGATGGGGGGTTCAGGAAATAGAAAGGGAGCGAAGCGGGGGAGGATTAGCAGAGGGAACAGCATGGGTTGGAGGTACCACCACAAGTCGGACACTGCCCTCCCTGCCCTCCCTGCCCTCCCTGCCCTCCCTGCCCTCCCTGCCCTCCCTGCCCTCCCTGCCCTCCCTGCCCTCCCTGCCCTCCCTGCCCTCCCTGCCCTCCCTGCACTCGCTGCCCTCCCTGCACTCACTGCCTCCCTGCACTCGTTGCGACTCACTTGTTTTGCATCTTCTGGGCGAAGTTGGCTGCTTGGAAGCGAAGGATGTCACCGCCACACTGCTTTGGCTTCCACGAGTAGTGCTGCAGCGAGGGGTAGAGAGGGGCAGAGAGGGGTGGAGAGGGGTAGAGAGGGGCAGCACCACAAATGGCAGCATGAGAAGTCGGCTGCTTGGAAGCGATGTCGCCGCCACACTGCTTCGGCTTCCACGACTAGTGCTGCAGAGAGGGGTAGAGAGGGGTGGAGAGGGGCAGAGAGGGGCAGAGAGGGGCAGAGAGGGGCAGAGAGGGGTAGAGAGGGGCAGGAAGAAAAAAGGCAATACGAGATGGTGGACTCATGAGACGATGTAGCACATGTGAACGCATGTAGCACATGTGAACGCATGTTGCACATGTGAACGCATTTAGCACTTGTGAACGCATGTAGCACATGTGAACGCATGTAGCACATGTGAACGCATGTAGCGAACGCATGTAGCACATGTGAACGCATGTAGCACATGTGAACGCATGTAGCACATGTGAACGCATGTAGCACTTGTGAACGCATGTAGCACATGTGAACGCATGTAGCACTTGTGAACGCATGTAGCACATGTGAACGCATGTAGCACATGTGAACGCATGTAGCACATGTGAACGCATGTAGCACATGTGAACGCATGTAGCACTTGTGAACGCATGTAGCACTTGTGAACGCATGTAGCACTTGTGAACGCATGTAGCACTTGTGAACGCATGTAGCACTTGTGAACGCATGTAGCACATGTGAACGCATGTAGCTCTTGTGATGCGGATGGGTTTAGCTGGCAGGGCTCTCAGCTGGGAGGGCTCTCAGCTGGCAGGGCTCTCAGCTGGCAGGGGGTCACCATCCATGAATTTTCCAGCCGGCTGTACTTCTGTCTACGTGACTTTTGTGTTGACTCAGACGGACTCACCATCCATGACTGGTCCTGCCGGCCGTACTTCTGTCTGAGACAGTTGGTTGTGGGCGACACAGACTGCCATGGCGGGGAGGAGAGGGGCAGAGAGCGCGGGAGAGGGGAAGAGAGCGTTTTGAGACGTCTAGAAAAACTTCTGTCTGAGGCAGTTGGTTGTGGGCGACACAGACTGCCATGGCGGGGAGGAGAGGGGCAGAGAGCGCAGGAGGGGGGCGGTAAGGGTAGGATGCAGCTCAGAAAGCATATGAGGGAGCGTCAGGATTGCTGGTGATAAGGTGAATAGGCCTTTCGGGAACACAGGATGGTGGAGAGACGTTGATGTTAGTGTTAGCCCTCAATCTCAACTTTTGTACTTGTACTTTTTTATATCATAGATTAGTGTAGTTTGTAGTTTGTGTTGGTTGGGTGTACACCCACATCCCAACTACACCCAAATGTGATTACCCCATTTTCTCCCCATCCAGTACGATTGCACCATCACCAATAATGTCACCACGCCCAATGTCACCACGGCTGTTCTACTACTTACATTGATGAAGGGACAAGATTCCATGTTGTATGCAGGGCGGTTGGCCTCGTCCCACACCCACTCGCCCTCGTATATGTTGCACGTGGTCGAATCCATTGCTTCGTCCCCGCCCATCGTGGCACCGTACGATGGGTTGCTCGTTAGAGGACCGTCTTCATTGCTGCTGTCACCACCGCTACTGTCACCTCCGCTACTGTCACTGCTGCTAGGGTCACCTCCCCCGTCCGACACAAAGGAGACGGAACCGTCGATACCTGAGGAAGCACCTGAGGCGTCGGTAGCACCTGAAGAAGCACCTGAGGAGTCAGCCGCGCCTGAAGAAGCACCTGAGGCGTCGGCAGCACCTGTAGAAGTACCTGAGGCGTCGGCAGCACCTGAAGACGCAGCCGCGTCAGTGGCAGCTGCAATGTCAGCAGTGTTATCCGCGGTAGCAGCATTAGGGTCAGTTCCAGCGCCCCACGCAGGGTCCACAGCAGCACCTGAATCAGAGTAGGAGTTAGCATCAGCAGCGCCTGAATCGGAGTAGGAGTTAGTATCAGCAGCAGGGGCATTAGTGGATGCAGGGTCAGCAGGCGTAGAGCCTGGGTCAGTGTAAGTATCAGCAGCAGGAGCATCAGTGGATGCAGGGTCAGCAGGCGGAGTGCTTGGGTCAGTGTAAGTGTCAGCAGGAGGGGGAGGGCTGGGTGGCGGTGGGCTTGGGGGAGGTGGGCTTGCTGTCTGGTCCCCGCTGCTTGTTGTTTCACCTGAGCTTTCACCTGAGCCACCCCATGGCCACCAGCTACCAGAAGACGAGCTGTCTCCCGTCGAATCAGAAGGCGGCGGGGGGGAAGGAGCGGACCAATCAGAAGGCGGCGGAGAGGGGCTGCTAGGCGCCTGCCAGTCATTGTTTGATACCCAATCAGAGTTTGACGCCCCGGCGTCAGTGGACCAATCCGAAGGGGGAGGGGGAGAAGGCGTGGTCGTGGTGGACCAATCAGGCGACGGGGAGGAGTAGTCTGAGGAAGAGGAGTCGGATGGCGCCGTCCAATCCGATGACGTGTCAGCTGGCGCTGTCCACTGAGACGATGTGTCAGGAGAGCTCGACCAATCAGAAGAGGACGTGGAGTCAGGGGTGGGCGAGGACCAATCAGTAGTGGAGGAAGAATCAGGGGAAGAGCTCCAGGAGTCCTGAAGCTGCCTTCGACTGTCACCTGTGTGAATGGAGCGCGGGCAGAGAGAAAGGAAGGAAGAAAAGCACTGAGGTGAGATGGTGGGAGGCAGGGAGGGAGGGATCGGGTAGAGAGCAACGGGGCAAGAGATGTAGGAGAAAAGGCGGAGGGTGTAACCAGTGTCCATACCATGAGCACCAGCTTCGCTCGCAATCATCCCCTGCCCGTCTATGACCCCATCATCTCGCCTCCTGGAGCCCGGGTGTGTCTGTGCCGAGCTGGGGAGTGCTTGTGGCGGTGGTGGCAGCAGCAGGAAGGCGCGGGTGCGCTGCATTCCCTGGGCTGCCACGAAGCGGGCGAGGGGCGAGGCGGGCGAGGGGGCGCGCAGGCCGTGCGCGAAGCTCAAAGCGAAGAGCTCCGCCAACTGGGGTAAAGGGAATGGGAGGGGGGAGAGAGGGGGAAAGAGTAAGGGGCACGAAGGAGAAAAGGGGTGAGGCGGGAGAAGAGGCGAGCAGCCCGTGCGCGAAGCTCAGAACTCAGAGCTCTCCGCCAGCTGAAAGGGGGGCAGAAGGGGAGTGAGGGAGGAGTGTGGGGGAGAGGGAGTAAGAGTGAGGGGAACGAGGCAATAGAGGGGCAAGGCGGGCGGAGGGGCGAGCAGCCCGTGTGCGAAGCTAGAAGCAAAGAGCTCCGCCTGCTGGGTGGAATCGGGGGAGGAACGGGGGAAGACAAAGGGGGGAAGAGGGAGAGCAGCAGTACAAAGAACGCCGTTTGCAATCATGGATCCGGGCAAGGACGAGGAGAGGGAGATGGGGATGAGAGCGAATAGTTGCCAGTTGGGGGGAGACGGGAAGGAGAGGATGAAGAGGAGGCGGAAGACACGAGTGGGAGGCGGTCGTCTGGGTCACACATCCCCCCGCTAACCCTTTTGAGACGTCGCACAAGGAGCGGTCGTCTTGGTCACACATCCCACCGCTAACCCTTCTGAGACGTCTCACAAGGAGCGGTCGTCTTGGTCACACATCCCACCGCTAACCCTTTTGAGACGTCTCACAGAAGCAGCCATCTTGGTCACACATCCCACCGCTAACCCTTTTGAGACGTCTCACAAGAACCGGCTATCTTGGTCACACAACCTCCCGCTAGCCCTTTCAGCCCCCTCACAATCAATACTCTACCTCTGAGCCGCCTCCACAGGCAGCTCTCATCACTCCAACCCCAATACCGCCTTAAAACCCTCCTTCCCACCCACACGCACCTCCAAGCGAGTGCATTCCAGCCGCTCATCCACCGTCGCCCCTCCACTACCCTCTCGCGCATCCCCATCCACACTCCCCAGCACCGCCCCATCAACCTCCGCCCCCCCATGCTCATCCTCACCCCCCATAGCGCCCACCCGCCCGCCCGCCAAAGACCCATTCCCCGCGCGCCCTCCTCCCCCGCCCCTCGTATTCCCGCGGCAGCGGGAAGCGCGGGCCTCAGTGGCTCTCAGGGGGAACGGCGCGTCGTACCCGCTCTCCCCCTCCGCCGCCTCCGCCGTTTCCGTCCCCTCGTTCTCCCCCTCCCGCCCCTCGTGGTCCAAGTAAGGGCGGGAGGGAGTGATGAGGTAGGGGCTGCTGGGTTGGCTCATGCCGCACGTGCCCGCTGCTGCCCCCGGCTGCTGCACGCACCCGGAAGGACTGTAATCGAGGCCGTTCTATAAGGAGGATGGACGATTCAGGGGATGGAGAAATGGAGGGATGGAAATTTGGGAGACGGGGAAACGGGGAACGCTGTGAGTGCAAGGCGAGTGGACTGCCGTGGGAGGAGCAGTGCGGATGGTGATATGGGAGAGCGCAAGCTGGGAAAGAGGGGAATTGGCAGGAAAGAAGAAAAAACTGAAAGAACAGTGGTGCGGCGCCGACGTGCATACCTCAGGGAGCACGGCGTGCGACGCGCGAATGCGACTGAGGTTCTCGCGCTCGACCGTCACGGCGACGGCTGGCGACGGGTGCAGCGACGCGAGGCACGCCTGCACGGCCTGCTCGTACTCGCACGCTTCCATGGCGTCCTGGAGGAGGAGAGGGTGGGGATAGGAAGACCTATGAGTCGACTCAAGCGTACTCTCGCCTGCACGGCCTGCTCGTACTCGCACGCTTCCATGGCGTCCTGGAGGAGGAGAGGGCGGGGATAGGAAGACCTATGAGTCGACTCAAGCGTACTCTCGCCTGCACGGCCTGCTCGTACTCGCACGCTTCCATGGCGTCCTGGAGGAGGAGAGGGCGGGGATAGGAAGACCTATGAGTCGACTCAAGCGTACTCTCGCCTGCACGGCCTGCTCGTACTCGCACGCTTCCATGGCGTCCTGGAGGAGGAGAGGGCGGGGATAGGAAGACCTATGAGTCGACTCAAGCGTACTCTCGCCTGCACGGCCTGCTCGTACTCGCACGCTTCCATGGCGTCCTGGAGGAGGAGAGGGCGGGGATAGGAAGACCTATGAGTCGACTCAAGCGTACTCTCGCCTGCACGGCCTGCTCGTACTCGCACGCTTCCATGGCGTCCTGGAGGAGGAGAGGGCGGGGATAGGAAGACCTATGAGTCGACTCAAGCGTACTCTCGCCTGCACGGCCTGCTCGTACTCGCACGCTTCCATGGCGTCCTGGTGAACGAGAGGTGAGAGATGGGGAGACTTTTGAGTCCACTAAGAAGAGACTTCGACTGCTGCGGATTGCTCCTACGCGTACGGGTCAAGAGTCCTGCTTGCGGAGCAGACGATTGTTAGAGGAATGGGCGGCTGATGGGTAATTGCAGTCTCTATACGTTTTTTTTAGCTGAAAAGAGCTCATAAGTCAACTCGGATGGGGTGGAGGGATATGTCGCTGGGGGATGGGGAGCAGGTTAGGATGGCAGCACGTCCGTGTCAGAGCAAAGACGAGAATAGCAGGAAGCGGGGGACCACCCACAGGCGATGAGAGCGGAGAAGGCAGAACCTGTACTGGTACAGAACTCGTCAACCGCTCACAACCACTCACCGATTTCAGCCACGTGTTCGTCTCCGGAGAGAAGAAGAGCTCAAAGCTGTCCGCAGCATGGCTGTGAATCCCGCCCGCAGCCCCGCCGTGGCTGCACGCTGGGACGGACACCTGTATGGGGCATTGATGACGACGCAGATAACGCAAAGGTTCAGCATCCGCGATTAAGAGAGGGAAGGAAAGTCCGGAAAGGGCGAAGACGCAGAATTCTCGCAAGCGGTTCTCCAATCCGCGCAAAAGGCGAGAAATTTGCGTCTTCACCAGGTGTCAATTCATGACAACTGAGTCAACCGACGTGAAAAGCTAGGAAACCGCAAGCCACTCACCGTTTCCCTGGTGGGTTCGAGGTGGTCCCGCCAGTGGTCGATCGGCCAGGAGACGCTGCGCACCCACAGTGAATCCTCGTGCTCCCTTCTTCTGCGCGTGCTGCTCCGACCGGTGCTGTTTTTCGCGACGGCGAAGAGGTCCGCGAAGCGGATGTGCGGCATGTGCTCGTCGTTGGGCCACACGGCGATAGTGGTAACATCCGTGAGATGCGTTACGGCGAAAGCCGCACAAATGGCGTGCAGTCGCGAACCCAGATCGCCCTGATAAAAAGGGGAGACGTGGCATCAGATGACGGACAGAGGCATGTTACTTATATGCTATCAAATGAAAACGTAACCAGAATTTTCATTATCTATCCCTCTCTTCCACACTCCCCTTTCCGTCCCCGTACAATTCCGTTTCCGTATTACCGGACACGTGATATCCTTCTGCCAGCTGTCAGACGTACCTCGGCGATCATCAGCGCGTCCGCTCTGTCGCAGATTCCCGCCTTTCCGATTAACTCGCAGTCGTCAAGCGACGTCTTCCGGAGGCCCCACAGCCCGTGGTCTTCGTGGAAGTGATCGTCAGTTAGCTCGTCAAATGTTACAGTTAGTAGGTTAGTGGACGAGAAGGAATCCATCTCGTTCTTGCCTGAACCGGCTGAAACCGCCGTGACGAACACCAGTAGGAAAAACGTTAGAGTCGATGGCTTCCTCCATGCTGTCATTTGAAACATTGTAGGTCGATTTGAGAGGTTCAGTCTCACAACAAGCGGAGATATAGAACGAGCTTCCGCTCAGAAATATATACAATTTGGCTGCTTAATTTTCACTGCAGAATAATCAACCTGCACTAGGTCATGCCAGCATGATGCGGTCCGCCAGGAAAAACTCTGAAAGAACCCTTGATAACAAGTCTGGCATATCGCCGAGATAATTCACTTGAGCATAACAAGGGGATGCGCGGATGCAGCGAAAGGAACCAAGGAAAGGCGGATGAACGAAGAAAAGGCGGAATTCCACAAGTAATAGATGTCGCAAGGAGGATTTCGCAAACGAGGGTGGTGTTGAGTTCCCAATGTGGATTCAAATCAGAAAGCGCGCGAAATCTTGGGATGTCTGCTTTTCGCGCAGCTGTGTCGAACCAGCATTGTCCAATCACATATGTGCGCCCCCATTCAAAACAGCCAGAGTGGAGGGCAACCAGCAGTTGTTCGCGCTAGCTGCAGGTGTCAGAGCTCTTGACTGGCATTGCGTGTACAGTTTGTGTAACTGTAAGCTTGAACAAGCAGCACGTCATAAAAAGGCCAGTGATGATGCTAAAATAAATGAGTTTCCTCATTTGAGAGCTACTCTAAGTCCATCTTACACAGAAATAATTGCATAAAATTATTTCCTACATGCAATATACAGGAGGATACCCTAAGCCCAAGAAACTGAATCCACAAGAGATGCAACACCTAGCTCTTTCTAGGCTGAGCAATCTACTAAGAACGCTGAAAACTTACACCTATCATCCTATCCTAACAATCTAACATAATGAAAGCATACATTAAAGCAGCAGTCTACATTTGGCAGGGAGAGTGCCAAAAGTTTATAAATGGTACATGGTGGGGGCGAAATTGTGGGGCACACTGTAAAACCCTGAACCCCGCTGTCAAATGTATACTGCCGCTTTAACCCCTTTGCCCTCACTTGGTGATGAGGAGCGGCCGCATCATGTCATTCTCCTCGTGCTCCAGCAAGTGGCAATGCCACACATAGCCCGGACCCCGGCTCGCGTCAAACTCAAAGGTCTTCACCCCCGACTGCTGGTAGAACGGAGTGTAAATCGTGAGCACCTGGCCAGGCTGCGACAGGGTTGTGTCCTTCCACCCGCGCTCATTCGCGTTCACCTCAACAGCAGGGCCGATGTAGCAGCTGGGCTTGGTCTTGTCCTTGAACGAGCACTTGCCCGCCGTGTACTTGGCGATGTCGAAGGGGCGGCGCGAGATGGGGCGGTGCTGGATGAGGTGCAGGTGCATGGCGTGCGCGTCCGCGCTGAGGTTGATGATGTTCCACAGCTCCGCCGTGCCCTCCTTGGCGATCTCGGTGGCAGGGTCGTGGTGCATCTTGCCGTCGATGGTCACGCGGATGGGCAGCTGCGTCGCGGGGTCCATGATCTCCACCAGCGTGTTGAACCGCGACCGCACCGCGCTAGCAACATCCACCCGAGGAATGCTCTGCTTCGGCGAAGGGTGGATCCGGGAGGAACCCAAATCAGCAGTGCGTCCACCGTATTCACCGAAGGCAAATGACAAACGTACAACGAACAACTTGAAGCTTGCAAAAGCAGATGGTAGGGATGGGTTGGGAGGTGACTAGAGACGTACGACGAGGGAGCTGGGGATGAGAGGGGAGGGGATTAGAGACGTATGACGAGGGAGCTGGGGATGGGCGGGAGGGGATTAGAGACGTACGACGAGGGAGCTGGGGATGGGCGGGGTGGGGATCTTGGTCTTCTTCAGCACGAAGCGCATGATGACGCCCGTGTTGGCATCGGCGGGCTCGCCGGCGGGGTAGGGGGCGCGCGCGTCGTTGGTGAGAATGACGTCCTTGCAGTGCCCGGGCGCGCCGTTGAAGTCCACCAGAATGTCCATCCGCTCGCCCGGCATCACCAGCAGCGACGACATGCGCACCGGCGCCGCCAGGTACCCGCCATCCGAACCGATCTGAACCGCGGCAACAGAAGAAATATAAAATGGATGAGGCGGGAAAACAAAAACCACATGGGAAGTTGGTTATGTACTGGCAAAATCACACTACTAGCAGAGGAGATCGCTGCATTAGTGGACAGTGCTCCATACGAGCAGCGGTTTACCTGGATAATCTCGAGGCTGGGGCCCTTCAGCGGGGGCGTGAAGTTGGGGTAGTCTCCGCGTCCCGCGCACGTGAACCTGAGGTTGTAAAAGCGCGCGTTCGACCCGCCCAGCACGCGGAAGCGGTACAGCGCGCGCCGGACCTTGAGGTACGGCCACACGACGCCGTTCACGAGAATGTGGTTACCAAAGTACTCGGGAACCCAGTTCGGATGCACCTTCGGCACGATCCCCACGTTCGGGTAGTCGATCGACCCGTTGGCGAAAAACGAGCGGTCGGCGAGAACGAGAGGCACATAGCGCCCGCTGCCGGGCTGCGGGAGGAACTGGAGGTTCTTCTCCTCGCCCTTGGGATCCACGATGATGTACGCGCCGGCCAGCCCCGCCACCGTGTTGAGCCGCGTCCACCCGAGCGCGTGGTCGTGGAACCAGATGAGCGACGCGCTCTGCTGGTTGCCGTAGCGGTAGAGGCGCGACTTGAAGGTGGGGCCGTACTCGCCGAACTGCGTGAACCACGCGTCCGGGTGCCCGTCGAAGTCGCTCGCCTGCTCGCCTCCATGCCTGTGCACCACTGCGGAGGGGAAATGCCGACGCACAATGGCAAGACAATGCGTGAGTCGGAATGATGAGCAACGGCTAGTAGCTCCGCGCGGACGGAAATGGGGAGAAGCGGCAACGCGAGAAATATTGGTAGCCGTGCAAAGGAAGGCAATTTCTGTGGCGACGCACCGATGGGAATGCCGCCCATCTTGGGCTTGGCCATGCCGGGCATGAGCGTGAAGTCGTTGGTGAACATGTGCTGGCGGTCCAGCAGCTTGTTCTGCCAGTACACCTTGGTGCGCACGCCCTTCTTCGCGATCAGGATGGGCCCCGGATACGACGCCGTCTTCGCGTCCATTCCGTACGCGTACTGCTTTGTCGCGGGCAGGTCGCGGTGAAATTTCTGCGCATTCGAAACCCGGGAAATCAAGAAGAGGGGAAAATAATTTCGTCAGGATCGCAAGGTTTTACCGTAACAGGGTGCTTCACGGTAGAGAATGGCTTTTCCGTGGTATTACTCACGTGGTAGATCTGGTAGGCGCTAATATGAAGCGTCTTCCCGCTGGCAGCGTCGACGACGGTGGGCGTGAACGAAGTGGCCATGTCGTTGACGAACTTGCAGAGCGGGTACTTGGGGAACCGGTTCTTGCACTTGGGACCAGCGAGGGGCGCAGCCATTGACCCCGAAAGTATCGCGAGCAGGCAGAGGGCGAGCAGCCCCGCGCTCGGGGAGCGCGGTAAGAAAGCCATGGCAGAGCAGGTAGAGTGATTGATATCGCGGTAGAAGAAATTTAGATCGTAGAAAAAAAAACTGGCGAAGCCGCAAAACTGAAATGCTGTGACGAGTATCCTTGACTTGCCGCATTTGTACTCCTCCCCCCTTCCCATCCGTTCACTTCGGTTCGAATCCATTGGGATGCAGGGAGCGCGCAATGGGGTCAGTCGCATCGCATCGCATGACCTAGCATATGGGCGACACGGAACGGCAAATGTACAAGGCTGGCTCGCGTGAGTCAGCACGGGGGGTAGGTGAAGTGTCCAGCGTCGCATTCGTCGTTCGATCGCATTAGGCAAGCAAGATCCTATCAGCTCGCGTCGCTTGGATCAGTGAGACTATGTAGGGATGTGCGACTGGTACAATCACTCATGAAAGACTGTGCACGTGTGCATCGCACGACCGGTACATCAGACCGAGTGACGTGGCAATTCGTCTGTGACGTTTGTGACTTTAGCGGATCAGCACAGAGTCACATCCGCGACGCGGGCTTTCACAAGTATGCTGAAACGCAACAAAAATACTGTATTATGTTATATATATTAGAAAACATTTTTGCACGATCGTAAGGATTTTTTAGCATTCCTTACCGCGCATCTCAAGATCGCGTACAACACCAACCGTTTCTTCGCCCGTCACTGCTACAGTGTTTCGACGCCTTCGCGCGTCACATTTCCCAAACCACGCACAGCTGGACTGGCCCGAGTCGGCCTACACTTCGGGACTAGCCCGAACCTCGCTGCCAGCATCACACTAGCTAGCTCACACGCACCGCGTTACTGTTTGCTTGTTTCGCTATGAATGTTCGCTCATGCCTTCGCTCACATCTGTACTCGTTTGCCAACCTTGTGTTGAGATTAGCTAGAAATTTAGGAGCCATGGGAGGTGGGGGCTAAGCTAGGAAACGTGAGTGTCGAGAGAGATGTTGGCCAAAGAGAGGAGGATTCAATATGGAGCGAAGGTACAAATAGGAAACAAGGGAGGAGCACCACCTACAGGAAATAACACAAACACTACAGTAACTACAACACACAGTTTATACAACAAATATATGTTTAACACACCCCCTAAACAGTTTGCTGCAGGAACCAGTGCAAGGACACCCCCTGAAGGGGTACACCAAGGTGCAGCGGAAGGAGAGGGCAAGCGAGAGGAGAGAGAGAGAGGAGAGGAGGGGAGAGAGATAGGAGAGGAGGAGGTGGGCGACGACTGAAGCTGCTAGTTCGCGGGCACTGGGGTGACTGGCTCGTACGCCTAGAGCATCCCGCTCGTACGGCTAGAGCAACGGACCCACGTGCGACTGAAGCACCGTCTCACTGGCGACTAGAGCTGCAAGTTTCACGGCGGCCACCCAGGGCGTGACGAGCGCCATGAGAGAAAACAGTGTCGGTGGGCCCATTAGGTCTTAGGAGCTTAACTGCTCTGATATCATGTTGAGAGTTAGGTTAAATTAGTAACCATGGCTCTTAAGTGTAGGATGTGACTTGGCTAGGAGCGAGCTTGACGAGAGGGAAGGGGAGCGAGAGTTTGGTCAAAGGAGGAGGATTCAATATGGAGCGAAGGTACAAATTGGAAACAAGGGAGGTGCACCACCTACACGAAATACCACAAACAGTACAGTAACTACAGCAAACCGCTTTTATAACAAATATATGTTTAACACCTTGGTGCAATCCTCATTTACTCGCTACATTGCACCCGTAACAATAATACATAAAACGTGAGTGCGTGAGAAAGCCTTCATTACGTTGTGTCCTGCTACTGTGCGCACTTCTCGACAATCCATTCCCGTTCTGTTAAAATATTTTTTGGATATTTGTTGAACATGATAAGTCTGCTGGAAGAGTAGTAAAGGCAGCGGAAGTCTTTGTAAAGGGGCGTAGCTTCGCTATAAAGCAGTGCGCTAAGGTGATACTTTTGGAAATAATGTAAAATCATTTTTTCTTCGGTTATTCCAACACTCCCCTTCATTCCTGAAGGTGTGCCACGTGGGACTTCTTGATGAATCCGCACTGTTCTGCGCAATACTGGAACTTCTGGCGTAGCAGCTTCTTTGTCAGAAAGTCTGCTGCCATGTCACCAGTTGGGAAGTAGGAGAGCTTGACATTGCCCTTGTCGATTTCGCCCTTCACTAAGAAGTAACGGAGGGCGATTTTCTTCGTGCGGTTCACGGAGCCGGGCTTGTTCTCAACTCTAAGCGCGCTCTGGTTGTCGCAAAGTAACTTGAAGGACCTGTCCATCGTCACCTTCGCTTCCTGTAGGAGTTCCATCGGGTAAAGTCCTTCGCGAACTGTTGCGCTTGCTGCGATGAACTCATCTTCGGCTTGTCAAACATTGTATGTTTACATTGTGTAGGCTATAGTGGGTTTAGCCTTAGGGGGTACACAAACTTAGGGTTTCCTACTTGTACCCAACTTTGTGCTAGTTCATCCATTCCTGTTTCTTTCATTCTGACATGGTTTCAGAGCAGGTCCTCCGCTAGGACCGATTTTTTTAGGGCCCACCACTACTGACTGCCTACTAGCGCCCTCGTGCGCCCTACTGTCGGAGCGCCCTCGAGCGCCTCCCCCCAGCGCCCTCGTGCGCCCCTCCTTAGCGGCCCTGTAAGGCCCCGCGACCCACGACCCGCCCCTTAGCGGCCCCGTCGGCCCCGCGCGCCGCCCCTTAGCGGCCCCTTACGGCCCCGTCGACCCCGCGCGCCGCCCCTTAGCGGCCCCTCACGGCCCCGTCGACCCCGCGCGCCGCCCCTTAGCGGCCCCTCACGGCCCCGTCGACCCCGCGCGCAGCCCCTTAGCGGCCCCTCTCGGCCCCGTCGACCCCGCGCGCCGCCCCTTAGCGGCCCCTCTCGGCCCCGTCGACCCCGCGCGCCGCCCCTTAGCGGCCCCTCTCGGCCCCGTCGACCCCGCACGCGCCCCACCTAGAGGCCCCGTCGGCCCCGTCGACCCCGCGCGCGCCCCACCTAGCAGCCCCGGCAGCCCCGCACGCGACAGCCACGGCCCCGCCAGAACCGAGCCGCCCGAACCGAGTCGCCCGAACCGAGCCGCCCGAACCGAGCCGCCCGAACCGAGCCGCCCAGCCCGAGCCGAGCCGCGCCGCCCGAACCGAGCCGCGCCGCCCTCCCCGTACTGAGCAGCCCCCCTCTGGACCGAGCCGCCCTCCCTGAGTCGTGCTGCCTGCTGCTTTTAGGGTTTCGCCTGCTGCTACTACTACTACTGTTCCTGCTGCTGCTACTACTGCTGCTGTTACTACTGCTCTTCCTGCAACTATGGGTAGCCCTGCTGTACTCGCTTTCGATGCTGAGGGCCGCCCACTGAAGTTTGACACCTGGCTAGATGACTTGCACCTGTTCCTCCAGCTCACTGCCAAGGAGGACATCTCGCTGTACGATCACGCACTAGGCCTCGCTGCTGCCCCTGCTGTTACTGCTGACAGTACTGCCCGCTCCCAGTGGCAGACTCGTGACGCCCACGCTCGCTTTGCTATTCGCAACTCCCTGCCGATAGATGAGCGCGAACACTTTGGCCAGCACAAAACTGCGCAGGCACTGTACACTGCTGTAGTTGCACGCTACCCCTCACCTGCCTCTGCTGCGCTAGGCCGTCTCTCGCTTCCCTACCTGTTCCCAGACCTGTCCGCTTTCGCCACAGTCGCTGACCTCACCACGCACCTCCGCACTAGTGAGGCTCGCTTTCGTGCCGCTATGCCCGCTGAGTTTCTTGCCACCCACCCCCCCCCGCTCTGGCTCACTCTCTACCACCTTGTCACCCGTCTCCCTGACTCTCTTCGTGCGGTCAGGGACCACTTCCTCGCTCGCTCCCCCACTGAGCTCACCATAGACCTGCTCGAGAAGGAACTGCTTGCAGCAGAGACTAGCATAGTCGCTGTAGCTGCCTCTCGTGGCGACCCCCGCACCCCTTTCTTCGAGGGGTGTTCCCCTTCCCCCCTTCTCCCCTCTGTCGCCTCTGCTGCTGCTGTCGACCTAGTTAGTACTGAGCAGGTCGGGACTGCGTCCGCTCCGAGCTGGCGCCGCAGCGGCAAGGGCAAAGGGGGCAAGGGAGGTGGAGGTGACGGCGGGGGAGGTGGGGGTGGGGGCGGTGGCGGCGGTGGGGGTGGTGGCGGGGCTGGAGGGGCTAGTGGCAGCGGTGGGGGTGGAGGCGGCAGCAGCGGAGGAGGTGACCGGGGTGGGGGCGGTGGTTGGGGAGGCGGTGGACGCGGAGGCGGCAGGGGCGGTGGTGGTCGAGGTGGTGGCGGCGGGGGTGGTGGTCGTGGTGGCGCTGGCGGACAGCAGACTCCGTCGCCCCAGGAGCTTCGTGAGTGGTACTCTCAGCACGGGGGGGGGGGTGGCCTTAGCTGCACGTACGTCATCCGCACTGGTGACCGCACTGGCCAGACGTGTGGGAGGGCGCACACCACGCAGCGCTGCTTCTCCCGCCTCGACGACGCTTGGCGGACTCAGTTCCCTACTGCCACTGAGCTGCCCCGCTGGTTTGATCTGATCAAGAAGAACATTGATGTCTATGCTCTTGACTTTGATGCTATTCTCACTGCCATGTATGTGTTGTCTACTAGTGGAGAGGGTGATCAGTACCGGCGTGTTCCGCCCGACCCGGGCATTCGCACCAGTGAGGCTGCCGCTCTAGGTGCTTGCGTGTCTGCTGCCCCAGGTGCTGGTGAGGCTGCTGCTCTAGGTGCTTACGTGTCTGCTGCCCCAGGTGCTGGTGAGACTGCTGCTCCAGGTGCTAGTGAGTCTGCGCTCCCAGGTACTGAGTCCACTGAGGCACTGCACACCTTCACGCTAGACTCAGGAGCTTCTCGCTGTTTCTTTCGTGACCGCACTGCCCTTGAGCAGCTTGCTCGGCCAGTTGCTGTCTCCCTTGCTGACCCCTCTGGGGGTCCGGTCATT